CACCTCACTGTGGAGGTGAAATGATGTTGTCAACTACAGTACACCACCTTACTGTGGAGGTGACATGATGTTGTCAACTACAGTACACCACCTTACTGTGGAGGTGACATGATGCTGTCAACTACAGTACACCACCTCACTGTGGAGGTGACATGATGTTGTCAACTACAGTACACCACCTCACTGTGGAGGTGACATGATGTTGTCAACTACAGTACACCACCTCAGTGTGGAGGTGACATGATGTTGTCAACTACAGTACACCACCTCACTGTACTAAAAAACAACTGACCAAGCAACCTGCATCAACTAAATATCAAAGTTTAGTCAAGAGCAGAACAGCTACAACAACAGAAAAACTTACAAAATATCACTAAACTGAAACATATTTATCTAAATTCTGGAAAGATTTTTGATACATTTGAATAATTCATTTTTCTAAATAATCTCTAAGACAGAAGAATGTTGAGACGTGACCACATTAAGATGAGTTATATTATCACTACCATGTTATATAATGGCAGCTGTGTACTAATACATGTACTGTTATTGCTAGTTTCTCTGTGGTGCTTGTCTCATCCTATTATTGTCACCTGCCTCATGGACATTCACCATTCCCTACTAACACACCACATCAGTCAAATACAATACATGTAGATCTCCAGTGTTTCCATTAAGTCTATGGAATCTACAGTGATGAAACTACATGTCTTTCTAGCCCCTCCCCTGCTAGTATTCTTGAGATGATGCTGTCTGTCTCTGTAGTCTCCCCAGTGATGACACTATCTGTCTCTGTAGTCTCCCCAGTGATGACACTCTCTGTCTCTGTATTTTCCCCCGTGATGACACTACATGTCTCTATAGTCTACCAAGTGATGGCACTATCTGTCTCTGTAGTCTCCCCAAGTAATGGCACTACATGTGCCTACTCCCCGTGTGATGACACATGTCTCTGAAGTCCCCCAGTAATGACACTATCTGTCTCTGTATCCCCCAGTGATGACACTACATGTGCCTAGTCCCCCAGTGATGACACTACATGTCTCTGTAGTCTCCCCAGTGATGACACTACATGTCTCTGTAGTCTCCCCAGTGATGACACTACATGTCTCTGTAGTCTCCCCAGTGATGACACTATCTGTCTCTGTAGTCTCCCCCGTGATGACACTACATGTCTCTGTAGTCTCCCCAGTGATGACACTATCTGTCTCTGTATCCCCCAGTGATGACACTACATGTGCCTAGTCCCCCAGTGATGACACTACATGTCTCTGTAGTCTCCCCAGTGATGACACTATCTGTCTCTGTAGTCTCCCCCGTGATGACACTACATGTCTCTGTAGTCTCCCCAGTGATGACACTATCTGTCTCTGTATCCCCCAGTGATGACACTACATGTGCCTAGTCCCCCAGTGATGACACTACATGTCTCTGTAGTCTCCCCAGTGATGACACTATCTGTCTCTGAAGTCTCCCCCGTGATGACACTACATGTCTCTGTAGTCTCCCCAGTGATGACACTATCTGTCTCTGTATCCCCCAGTGATGACACTACATGTGCCTAGTCCCCCAGTGATGACACTACATGTCTCTGTAGTCTCCCCAGTGATGACACTACATGTCTCTGTAGTCTCCCCAGTGATGACACTACATGTCTCTGTAGTCTCCCCAGTGATGACACTATCTGTCTCTGTAGTCTCCCCCGTGATGACACTACATGTCTCTGTAGTCTCCCCAGTGATGACACTATCTGTCTCTGTATCCCCCAGTGATGACACTACATGTGCCTAGTCCCCCAGTGATGACACTACATGTCTCTGTAGTCTCCCCAGTGATGACACTACATGTCTCTGTAGTCTCCCCAGTGATGACACTACATGTCTCTGTAGTCTCCCCAGTGATGACACTATCTGTCTCTGTAGTCTCCCCCGTGATGACACTACATGTCTCTGTAGTCTCCCCAGTGATGACACTATCTGTCTCTGTATCCCCCAGTGATGACACTACATGTGCCTAGTCCCCCAGTGATGACACTACATGTCTCTGTAGTCTCCCCAGTGATGACACTACATGTCTCTGTAGTCTCCCCAGTGATGACACTACATGTGCCTAGTCCCCCAGTGATGACACTACATGTGCCTTGTCCCCCAGTGATGACACTACATGTGCCTAGTCCTCCAGTGATGACACTACATGTGCCTTGTCCCCCAGTGATGACACTACATGTGCCTAGTCCCCCAGTGATGACACATGTGCCTAGTCCCCCAGTGATGACACTACATGTCTCTGTAGTCTCCCCAGTGATGACACTATCTGTCTCTGTATCCCCCAGTGATGACACTACATGTGCCTAGTCCCCCAGTGATGACACTACATGTGCCTAGTCCCCCAGTGATGACACTACATGTCTCTGTAGTCTCCCCAGTGATGACACTACATGTGCCTAGTCCCCCAGTGATGACAGGGGAACTTTCCATCTATTCCAGTATAAAGGATCCACACGAGTTTGTTGATGATGTTTCTGTGAATGAGATACATGATGTTACAAGTGGTAGCGTGGCCTCCTACTGTTTATTGATGAAGTTACCAATCAGCTCACTCTTAAATCATTAGTGAACTCAGCCTGTAAGCCGGCCATGCAATTAGTGGTAATTAGGATCAATGGCCTGACCATCACTCAGATAACCTTGGCTTTGTATTATATACTTACTTTGTACTTAGTTGTCCTTACAAATCACAGAGTAAGTATATCAAATTTTAGTCCACATCATGGTATCCAATCAAATCTTCTCTTATGAAACTTTATGTACAATTGTCTCAAAATAACTGAAATTAAAAAAAATCTTCAGATTGGAAAATAATTTGTTTAGGAAGTGGGGAAAGAATTTTGAAAAGGGCACATCAGCCTTGGTAAATAAATCGGTAATGGACTTCTGAACATATCTATGAACTTTGAACTTCAATCTATACATATATCCCAAAATATGACGAACATGATGCCAAGCATGCTTTTAAGTTTTTTTTCTGAAGCATGCATTAAAGAGGTCTGTAAAAGGAATTAATTTTACAAGGAATTAGATCCTAAGCATGTATATAACAATTACGTTTAGGTCGCCAAAATCTGTCAAGTGCTCTACAATAAACAATACTTTGATTTCAAGTTCAAAAAACATTTTAACAGATCATTTGCAGTGCATAGTTTTGATACTTGAGCCAAAATCTGCATTTAAGTTTTTATTAACAAACTGACACTGATAACCTGCACTCCAGGTGGGAACTATTCCAGGTAAATTTCTAACAATAGTACATCAAATGTGAAGTTTGCTTGAAACCTGTGTAAGTACTTCACCCAAAACTACAAAACTGTCTTAAAGTAGCAGCAACGACCTACATTTAGATGCATGACCTTAATATCTGAGTTAATGGTGAATTCTGCCAGACATATGGATGGATATATTCCCATCTTTACTGATACAATTGAAGATTAGAATGGTGACTATATCAGAACAATGGCGTTTCATAAAACACAATTATAGGTTTCTGGACATGACAGACAACCTCATTCTGGTTTTCTTCATTGTGGGGGGTATTGATACCAAACAGTTTAAGAGTAGAACTGAAAGCATTTGTAAAAGTGCATGCATGTATACAGAGTCATAACAAGGTCTAATTGAAGACAAATATCTGAAGAGTGTAAGGGAGAACTACTAATTACTAAATCCATCACAGTAACAGACAGCATAACAACAGGTACAACTTGTTTTCGGCTTTGTTCCATTACTCTCGGATCAGAATCTGCCAACCCACGAATCTCAACAAATGGGCTCATGATCTCTTATCTTAATGTGTGACTTAATTTTTGCATTTGTATTTGAAACATGTGCAGTATTGTAGACTTACAGCAAATTTAATGTTGAATTTTAATTTAAATTTAGCACATTGTAATTTTTTTTTTTTTCGCAAATTAGCAAAATGATGAATTTGAGCATTAACAATAACTTATATAGACATACAGTAACTGTAATATTATAGCACAACACATTCACCGCAAAAAAACACTAAAATAACATTAATGTTAACATGTACATTTACAATATCTATTATCAGAATTATCCAACATCACCTGAGAATTTTTTCTGAACAAATCTATCATTTTATGTATCCAAGCTTCTGGTCAGTGATTAACACTTTAGCAAGAACAACATCATTTGTTTTGAGCCTGTGATCATTACTTTCTTCAATAAAACTTTAATTGACAATTTCTCATTTTGTACATTTTCAGCAACAGTATGTGTACATTATTAAGGAAGAGTTCGGTAAAGTGATCTGTGCTGATAAGGTTTAGACATTAGTGACTGGTAAATTGTCTGATATCCAAGAGACAGGCTATTTCACATGTATATTGGAGATGGGGTAAAATAATCTGTGAATGATGGGTATTTTTTAAGTTTCAACTTTTAACAGATGTGATGAGGAAGGGAAAGTCAACAGCAATACTTGGTTCTATCTGCCAGACATCACTGTGGAACACTACATTACCACTACCTGTGCCAGCAAAGTCACTTTCATCTTTTGTATTATTCCCCGACCCTGTGAGGCAACATCTCATATGTTGAGCTCTCCTACTGCTATACTTACAAATCTACAGAGACATCGTTCTAACCATCAGGTTCCACTCTACCTGACAACCATCTCAATCAGGCAAAATCTACCATGGTTGAGTAATGATTTCTCAAGAATGTCTATCTGTAAAACCAATAACTTACAAAATAATAATAAAGAAACTATTTCAGAGATTCTGGTTTATGAAAAACCAAAATATTGCATATATATCCAATGTGATCATGGCATCTTTATCTGAAAAATTCATGTTTTTGGACAGGATATTTGGGGTTTTAACTGTTTACTAAAGATTCCAGGTTCAACAGTCTTCAAAATAAAAAAAAAATAAATAAATAAATAAAAAGATGGCAAGCAATGATTAATTACTACAAGAAAACATGCATTATGTTCTAGAGAGAAAACATACAGCAAGTTGGTAATATCTTGCTGTGATGCTTAAGACTGACACCTCAGGAAATTATTGTGACAAAGTATATAACAACAAACCTGGTACAACATGTTAGTGGGCTTACTTTGGCACTGGCTCCAGGAAGGCATCTACCAGACAATATAAATACCAGATAGTTCTATAAATCTGTCAGCTTTATAGCGCACCATTGTATCCATAAACTCAAGTGCAAGGTGATAACTTTATACATCGTTTTTAGAGAATATCGCCAATACTATTATAAGAAATGTATGAAACGAAGACCACTTTTTCTATGTGCAACAGCCATGGGTTGAGATTAAGACTTGAGCTCTACCGACTAGAGTTCCAACTAGAGTTCTACGGACTAGAGCTATTCCAACTAGAGCTCTACCAAATAGAGCTCTTCTGACCAGAGCTCTACCCACTTAAGCTCTACCCACTAAAAACTCTACCAACTAGAGCTCTTCTGACTAGAGCTCTATCCACTTAAGCTCTACTGATTAGAGCTCTACCAACTAAAGCTCTACCCACTAGAGCTCTACCAACTAAAGCTCTACCCACTAGAGATCTACCAACTAGAGTTCTTCCAACTAAAGCTCTACCCACTAGAGATCTACCAACTAGAGATCTACCAACTAGAGTTCTACCAACTAAAGTTCTACCAACTAAAGCTCTACCCACTAGAGATCTACCAACTAGAGTTCTTCCAACTAAAGCTCTACCCACTAGAGATCTACCAACTAGAGTTCTTCCAACTAAAGCTCTACCCACTAGAGATCTACCAACTAGAGTTCTTCCAACTAAAGCTCTACCCACTAGAGATCTACCAACTAGAGTTCTTCCAACTAAAGCTCTACCCACTAGAGATCTACCAACTAGAGTTCTTCCAACTAAAGCTCTACTGGGTAAAGCTCAACTGAGTAATGCTCTACCCTATGAACTGATAGGAAATTCTTTCAATATGTATTAACAAGTACTTGATACTTTTACAGCTGTATTATATAATATCAGACACAAACAAAATTTTATAAATCTACTTAGAATTGAAATAAAAGAAATTAAATTCACTTCGAACTTGTACTGTACTAGAGGTGTCTGTGAGGAGAGAGTTGATTGCAGTGTGTGGTACTAAAAAGACTGCATGAACAAAGTGGCTAGAAAATAAAATGACTTGGCTGTGTATACAATTTAGGAAACATGGTAAAAGACATTAAAATGCTGTGATCAAAATGAACATTTTGATACCTGTAGTTGATAGCCTGTGAGAAGCATTTTCTTACAGATAACCAATGCAGGCTAAACTACAAGTAAAATATCTATCTCTTCCACATATTTGTATATGTTCCAATATTTTTTCACAAACATAAATCTATTTTGGGGCATTTAATTTGTTGATGCTAAGACATGAATCTTGGACAAAAATATTCCTGGAGATATTAAATAGAGTGTAGGAGTTTATCTTTACACTGATAATCACAAATATCTATGTGGGGAACTTAAAAGACTTTAAAATCATTAACAAAATCATGAACATAGGATGGAATTTTCGCTAACACCATAATGATTTCAGTTAAGTAGAACCCTGACTTATATACTGTGCTCATTCTAATGTTGACAGAACCACAGAGGAAAATTTATCTGAATTTGGCTTCAGTATAATACTTGTTAAAATGGAAGAAATGTTGATAATAGAGAAAGCACTTCCAAAGCTAGAAGTAAAATGCTATCTCTTCCACATATTTGTATATGTTCCAATATTTTTACACAGTGAAACAATCATGATTGTGATTAATTCCAGAAATGTTCAATAGAAATCAAACAAAAACTTCAAAAGAGACAGTTCAACAACGACTGCAAAGTTACCTCTATCAAGCAAGAGAAAATAATTTCAATGTGACTACAAAATGTTGTAAAATCATTAACAAAATCATGAACAAGAGAAAATTATTTCAATGTGACTACAAAATGTGCTGTAACCTGCTAATGATTATCAAGTAACAGAAAATAATTTCATATGTGACTACAAAATGTTCTAATGTTGACAGAACCACAAGTAAGAGAAAATAATTTCAATGTGGCTACAAAATGTACTTGTTAAAATGCTACAGAAACCTCTATCAAGTAACAGAAAATAATTTCAATGTGACTACAAAATGTGAAATGTAACCTGCTACAGTTACCTTACAAGTAAAGAAAATAATTTCAATGTGACTACAAAATGTGCAGAAATGTTCACCTCTAGAAATCAAAGAAAAAACTTCAAAGTGACTACAAAACTGTAACCTGCAAAGTTACCTCTATCAAGCAAGAGAAAATAATTTCAATGTGACTACAAAATGTGCTGTAACCTGCTACAGTTACCTCTATCAAGCAAGAGAAAATAATTTCAATGTGACTACAAAATGTGCTGTAACCTGCTACAGTCACCTCTATCAAGCAAGAGAAAATAATTTCAATGTGACTACAAAATGTGCTGTAACCTGCTACAGTCACCTCTATCAAGTAACAGAACATAATTTCAATGTGACTACAAAATGTGCTGTAACCTGCTACAGTCACCTCTATCAAGCAAGAGAAAATAATTTCAATGTGACTACAAAATGTGCTGTAACCTGCTACAGTCACCTCTATCAAGTAACAGAAAATAATTTCAATGTGACTACAAAATGTGCTGTAACCTGCTACAGTCACCTCTATCAAGTAACAGAACATAATTTCAATGTGACTACAAAATGTGCTGTAACCTGCTACAGTGTACAATGATATGTTCATTGTGTAAATCTAGTTGATACAGATGTCTACTGTTTATCTTGAGATACCCAAGTAAGTTTGTGGTTAATTAATTTCAATAGCTTCATAATACAAAAGAGTGAAGCATCAGATGGATGGGCAGACATCCTCATCATTGAGTGTCTGTGTGTGTATATAGTTGAGACATCACCTGAATCTAGTGTCTAAAAACACCATCATATAAAATCTTAGTACAAACACATCATCTTTATTAATATTAACCATGGTGTCCTCCAAAGAATTTCCCCAGAGACAAAAAATATGGAACCCTTATGCCTGCAAAAAACCCCACAAGGTCATTGCCCTACGTCAACAGAGCAGTTTTTTGAAGTGATAAACACAAGTCTCCCTGTGCTCATCTTAAACCACTGTACCAAAAAACTGTAGCCATCCCACTAATATCCTTCACATTCTGTCTCCCTGTGCACCGGAGCATTCCACAACTAAAGTTGGCTTCTAAAATACTTGTAGAAATAGAGAATATGTCTGTGCTTCTAGACATCATTACCTTAAACACTCAACGTCCATTACATTCAATTTCATCAGCATATTACCTAAATAAATAATTTCCAGAATTATCCAAAAATAATTTTCCATTAATAATGAAATGGTTTCAAAAGTGATGAGATAAACTCGCAAGTGACTCAGTAAACAAAGTCTCATGAAAGTTACGTAATCTGTTCAAACTTATAGACAGCTTTTTATGTTGTTATACAGAAATAAGGATTTAATCTTGTTTAGATGCTGGTTGTACAGCTTTAATATCCCATACAGATTATACCTAAGAATAAATAGGATGACTTTAAATCAATTTCATTGTAATAAAGTTATCAATCTTGTTCTCTTGGGAAAGATGATGTTCCCCACAATGACAAAAAATTTTGTGACCAGAAGATCAGAAATTAACTGCCAAGTAAAGGATGTCAGAAATTAACTGCCAAGTAAAGGATGTCAGAAATTAACTGCCAAGTAAAGGATATCAGAAATTAACTGCCAAGTAAAGAATATCAGAAATTTTATACAGGAAAGAAAAAATCTTACACAAAGAAGATAAAATCTGTAAGTTATTTGTCTCAAAAACTGTATCTACTCATACTCCATTTACATGCACAGATCAAAGCGGGAGCACTTGGCCCATATTAAGCCAGGCTCGTTTATCTGATACATGATAAATAGATATGATATTAAAAAGATATGATAGAGAAGGCACCATTCAGGCATGATTATTGTTCAATCTGGCCAGTTAATGTTTCAATTACTGTATAACCAGGTATCAGTTACTGTATAACCTGGTTAGTTCAGGTATCAGTCACTGTAAACCTGGTTAGTTCAGGTATCAGTTACTGTATAACCTGGTTAGTTCAGGTATCAGTCACTGTAAAACCTGGTTAGTTCAGGTATCAGTTACTGTATAACCTGGTTAGTTCAGGTATCAGTTACTGTATAACCTGGTTAGTTCAGGAATCAGTTACTATAGAACCTAGTTAGCAGTTACTATAGAACCTGGTAATTTCAGGCACCAGTTATTGTATAACCTGGCCAGTTAATGTTTCAATTACTGTATAACTTGGTTCGTTTAGGCATCAGTTTCTGTATAACCTGGTTCATTCAGGCTTCAGTCATTGTTTAATTTTGTTAGTTCAAATATCTAGAACAACCTACATAAATAGGATGAGATCATGAGGACTGTAGATCATCTTCTAATTGAGGAGTCATAAACACTCAGAGATAGAATTAAATCTTATGTTTTTGTTCAACAAGACAATTGGCCTCACAGCTGTTGGTGATCACATACCATCAATGAGAAACTGTTACAACCATACATACAATTTTCTGGTCACTGCTTCGGAATTAATATTTAAGACATTTATTTATGTAACACAGACTCAATTCTCCTCTGTTTCTTTTCTTCCAGATAACAATAACAAAACAATCTGTGTACTTTTCTCCAAATTGAAACCACTAACAGCCAACTTCTATAATCCCACAAGTGTACAATGTGTACCTCCTGATGCCACTCATACCCAAAATAATTAAAGGCCATCATCGCTGGTCTTTACAGGAATTGGAATTATTTTTTCTCTCAATATCAACTTGTACTTTCTCATAAGGCTATCAAATTGTTATTAACAAGAGTATTACTCATCATCAGCCAAAATATACACATTCTAACAGCTGATATACCTGTCATAATTACCGTCTATATCCTATAATACACATGTCTACAGTTACGACATCTATTACAGTTTAAGTAAAAATGCCAATTCTATATTCATTACCCTGTAATGAACATGACAGAGTTTAGTACATCCCCCCTCCCCCCCATGGACTTAGTGTAGGATATATATGGTACCCCCCCTTCCCCCCCCATGGACTTAGTGTAGGCTATATATACAGTACTCATCCTTCCCCCTCCCCCATGGACTTAGTATAGGATATATATGGTACTCCCCCCTTCCCCCCCCCCATGGACTTAGTGTAGGCTATATATACAGTACTCATCCTTCCCCCTCCCCCATGGACTTAGTATATGATATATATGGTACTCCCCCCTTCCCATGGACTTAGTGTAGGATATATATGGTACCTCCCCCCCTATGGACTTAGTGTAGGATATATCATCCCCCCCCCCCCGTTGAATTAGTGTAGCATATATACACGGTACTCACCCTTCCCCCTCCCCCATGGACTCTATGTAGGATATATACGGTATCCCCCCTACCCCTGGACTCTATGTAGGATATATACAGTACAGTCACAGCAATGCCATTAAAAACTCTGTGTGGGTTCAATTTGGAAACCTTCCTGGGCCCTTATACTCATTTAAAATGTAAATAACTGTTGTAAGGATGGACAAAGTAAACTAACTAATCTAACTGTAAATACATCAGAAATTAGTAGAGTGGCTAGCTACCTACAATTAACACACATGTATATATCTCTTTGCACTTATTGGTTTTTTTCCACAGTAAAACACAAGACCTAGAGAAGTCAAAGAAGACAAAAGAGCACAGTAATGAGTCCTGTGTTGCTGTTTTATCACAAAAAGACTAATTCATGATACTAACATCATTCAAACATATTTGGAAACTTTCTGAAGCAAACAAAAACTTCG